TTGTTGTTCTACATTTTAAAAAAAACTTTTCGCTTGTAGATTAGGCATTAAATTATTTTGTCGTGTAGTAAACCAGTGTCTATCCATTATTTAACAACCATGTAAACTTATTTAATAGTCATTTTAAGACTCCTTTTAATTGGGCCAGCCCCTTAGTGATACCGTTCTTGTCCGACTCCTGTGTCCACAGTTTACTATACAATATATAAGTTAACTACGTCTTACTACTTTCTGTATTTCTTAGATCGCTGAACCATGTATCTGTACTATAAACAAACAAGAGTAAAGCTTTTGCTAAAACGGTCATTGAAAAATACAAATTACAACTATTACGTCCTCTAAATAGATTTAACTTTCTAATGTAAATATGCTTTCGATATTGACCGTCGAATGCAAGAATATTCGGCAAAGTACACTATTTTGTTGGTGTTTTTTTTTTTCAAGAAGTAAGTAAAGCCATTAAAACGTGAATGATATTGCTTGATGATGTGACTGCACGGATGGCGTAGTGGTTTAAGCGGTCGCCATGCCGCTTACTACTACGCTGGGTGATGTGGGTCCGATCCCCACATAGGATGACACTTTGAGCTAACCACAAATTGTTGTTCTGAGTGTGGGTGTTCTTTGTGTCCGTTTCATGTATGTTTGTAAAGTCCCACGCGACACAGGATATATTATTAATGCGGGAGTTGTCTTTTTAAGAAAAAAAACGGAATCATCTTTGTTATTAAGAAACAGTAACTAAGAACATTGTAATTATTTAGTGAACTAGCGCGTGTGTAATTCTCTTTATAGATGCACAAGCCCAGGCTTCTTATGTATTTATATTCGATGTTACAGTAGCCTGTTGACGTCATTTAGAATTTGTTAACAGAGATACCACTAGCAATTAGAAGATTTGAAAGATTTCAAAATAATGTCAGATTATAAATTATATTGAAAATACAATTTTCAAGGATTCTCCACTTAGTTTGAGATTAGAATTTTCAACGATTCAGTCATATTTGTTACAAGCTATTGCCCGCGGCTTGGCTCTCGTGATTATTTTTCATTTCGTGTTTCTAACTTTAAAAATGACGGACTTCTATATACAAACATTCATCTCCTATTCCATTCATACCCTCTTGGGTGAGAAATTGACAAAAACACTTTCCTAGTTGATGCTTACAATATAAAAAGCATTAGCTGCCAAATATTTAAATTAGTGGCCCCAACGGTTTAGGCTCTCATGAATCAGTCAACTTTTACATAGATTAAGTGAGAGATTATTGTTATGGTTATTAATTATTATAAGATTCAGGTGCATTAATTTTTTCATTTTATTAGTTTTATTCATTTAGAGACAGTTCTCCTTCACTAGGATTATACGTCCCAAAAATAAGTTTTATAAAAGAATAGTTTGACCATACTTCATAAACCACCCATACTTAAATACATTGGGCTGGAAATACCTACCTTATTTAGGTAGGTATTTGGCATTCAGTCGATGTGATTATATCAATAAATTCAATAGTTTGCCAATGTAACGGTCTGGGCGGTTACATTTGTCGCAAATTAATGGCAATAAAGCATAATCATATCGTAAACGGTGTTCGTGAGGCAGAACCAGCGTTGCCCCTGGGCACTGTGTGATACAACATGGCTCTCGACTTTAATCGTATTTGGAGTTTTTATATCTATTTTTTGTTCAGACACGACTATCATTTTTTTTTCGTTCTGTCGTTTGTCCGGATTCCAAGATTCATAATTACGTTTAATAAAGTTTGTCTGTTTATCTGCTCAAACGAGATTAGAACAAGTGATAAGTAGGTAGTTTGGATCATAGAGGCTTTGAGAACTAAGAGCTAAGGTGCAAAATCTTGTGACCATATTCGACATTGTATTTTTTTTTTTTATGTCAGAGGGGCAGATATTGTTTAAAATTACTACAAAGTGATATTAGCAGTTATGTCATTTCTTGATGACACTTTGTATTAAATTTACAATAAATCAAAAGATTTTAAAGTAAAATGATTAAAGTTCTCAGTTTTTGTAATAATTCTTGAGTAAACGTAAAGAGATATTAAAATTTACATGAAAAGTGCTCAGGTTTATTATATTAATTCTGCTCGTTTGCTCCTCACTCACTCACTCAGAGTACATTACTTTATTCTGTGTATCTATGCCAATAACTTGATTATTTGTGACCATGATCATTACATACATATTTATATATATATTTATTTTTCAGTGATAGAAAGATTAATATATATTTTTACACCTTGGGTTTATCTTAGTTTCATAAATTTGTAGCGAAGAATTATGAAACTAAAAGTATTCATAGATAATTTCAAAATATATTAAATTCTACGTTATATTATAAAATAATCCATTGGCATATTTACAACAGCATGTAAACATTTTAATTTTACAGATATGGAAAAATTGATTAACATTTTGACACTTTTTACAAAACTAAAGTGGTTGTTTCTCAGAACTTTAAAGTTGAGATTGTTCATAGGTGATCAGGACGATTCATTGTAATAGGGTACAGTGCCTTAAATATTTGTAGAAAAAAATACTTGAAGAAATACTTCTTGACCACAGCATCAGGGACGTCATTGAAACAGCAAGATCGCTTGTAACACAATTATGAATTGTCAGTTGAAAACGGCATTCCTTCGAAATAAACTAAAATATTTTATAAAAATATATAGGAATGTCTTTACTGTGTATACTGAGCCTTCGGTAGTATGGTTGGATATGTACTTGAAATTTAAAAAAAAAGTAACGAGCTGTTTTCTGTTATTTTTTTGTCTCATTGACAATGCGATTTAATAAAATGTTGTCTTTATTAATTAGGTTTTTCTCAGCTAAACATAACTAACATTTAGTTACTGTCTCTCAAGGTTTACTTTAATTACTATATGTGTTGATTTGGCATTGTGTATAATCACATCATATCAACACCCTTTAATAGTCCACTGATAGACATAAGCCTCTCCTTAGAAAGGAGGTTTTGGCCTACTATACCACGTTGGCCAGACGGGTTGGTATGGGGTTTGTGTTAATTTGTCCTTCTCTTTGCAGTGCGGTTGTCCCCTTTGCCCCTTTAGTTCACGGGATGGATAGGGGTGGTGACACTCCATATTCTTAATCCGTCACCACACGGATAATACGCATTGTGTATGTGTGAAATAAAAAGCAGAGGTAAAAGTTTATTGTTATTTATTTCATTTTGACAAGGTTATCGGTGACCTTTGAAAGACTAAAAGGTATCAAAAGTACAAAACGATACAGGTAATAATCTCTATAAATTACATCCTAATGATAAGTTAAATAGCATCTCTTATGCGATTCGAATTTGGTACGAGTATACTACAACAGACATTCATACTCAAGGTAACATCGACTCGGAAAGAGTTGGCTCAGGAAAATATATTTATAAAATTTAATGACATCAAGAAGTACAGAGTGCAGAGTAAGTTGTGCTTGTGAAGGAGTGCAAGAGAAATTGCACAGGCTCTGCTAGACAAAAGGCATATTTCCAGGAGAGTCCTTAATCTAACTGCAACGATTCGAGTTATATTTTAAAACTATCTGGTATACACAGTTAGAAGAGACAGCCCATTCGTGACGCGTTTTAAAAGGTTTCTATTGTGTTCTGCCAAATGCACTTTTCATAAGAAGCTCATAGTGCTATGTATACTTTGTTTTACTGTGTGTTAATATTGATGGAACACTTGTCAGGAGACTGTAGCTGTTGACTTGACCGTAGGTGATATTGTAAATTTAGATGCATCATAAGTTATTTTGGGCTCTAATACATAAAAAATACAATAAGATTTAAACTCGCAACAATACAGAGATCTATCTATACTTACAGGAACGTTTACAATATTTATTTGAGAGATTCATTTTTTTATCAGATGAAGTATTTTTAAACTGCTGCCAGTAATAAATTAAATCACAGATTTGTATTTATATTAATTTAGTAACAGAGCCGAATAAAAGGTTTCAATAACATTTTGTAGTAATCTCTAATATCTGTATAAGTTCTAATTAAAATCTCAATACAAAGATAATAAAATATCTAATTTGCGTAATATTTTGAAACTTAACAATCGGCGCTCTAAGAATGCCGCACGACTTAAATGTCTACGGCCGGCGCCAAAAACGAAAATAATTTACGCAACATTTAGTATACATACAAATATAAATTTTGAAAGGTTACATAATTTTAAAAACAACTTTTCTAACATTTCGTAAAAATATTTAATAATATCTTCAATAAGCAACAAGTTATATTTTTATTGGTAACCGGCGTTTCCTCTCAGACTAATAATACTAATTATTTTACATCAAATAAAGCAAAATTTACAAAAAAGTAGGTATAAAGAAACTACTTACATCCATACAACGTGTCATATAGCGTAAATCTATAGTAGCGAACACTCTCTGAACACTTAAAATAATTGTCTAGTTGTCTTTTACGACAAGTAATATATTATATTTATACGTACAAATACATTTTTCGTATAACTATCGGTAGAGAAAATTCGGTACGCGTCTAACTAACATATGCTACACTTACTTAGTATTTACATTAAGTACACGAGATTCAATATCACTTTATTTATATTACTAATCCTAATAGCCGACTTGGTGGCAAGTACATTAATTTACTTTCACTCGTTTGCGCCAATTCAATGTGCCTACAGCGGTAACAACAAAAGGTATTTACAAAATTATTGACGTGTTCATTTTGATTGTACTAGGTATTTTCTGGTTTAGGTATGTTTACATGGTACTCGGTCTATACTTTATAAAAATGCTTTGAATTTATTGGCAAAATCAGTAAGTATTTTATCTATTTAAATAAAAGTAGTTGGCGCTTATTTATTAAGAAGAATGGAACAAGGAATTCACAAAAATAAAGTTTCTATAAAGAGTACACAAGAGTCATTTGGATGCATCGACCAGATTATTGTAACTGTGAATGCGGTCTGCACGGTTCACTATCAGGTGTGGTCTGCGCCACTTGCTGTGGCAGCCGCAGCGCGTCGTCCAGGCGCTACGCGACCCATAAAAGACCTTATTTCTTCGAAATATGTCTCATCTGGAGACCTTCGACGGCTGTCATCGCCATTCTCTGCCTCATGTTTTTTGAGGTGCCTATCAAGGTTTGTCTGCTGACCAAAGCAGCGGTCACAATGACGACATCGAAATGGTCTTTCTTTGTTATGAATGTTCCTCACATGCCGTTGCAAATTCGACGATATGGAAAAAGAACGTTCACAATATTTACAACGATAAGGTTGTTCCCCTGTATGCGTTCTTAAGTGCCGTGTTAGATTGGCACTGCGGGGAAATGCCTTGCCACAGTAAGAACATGTGTATCGATCTCGTGCTCTTGGTGCTCCAGGATTCGGGGGCACAGGGGGAGCACGCGGTGCACCAGGGCTAAGTAGGGTGGCTGCTGCTGCTGCAGGTAAAAAAGGGTATCGACCAAATGATGCTGGTAGTGCAAGTGGTAATCGTCGACAGAACTGTAGTAATGCTGGATGAGCAGGGTGGGCAGGATGCGCAGGATGCGGTGGCGGTGACGGCACAATCAAGTTGCAGTTTTCGTCTTCTAGTCGGTGCGGGCGTTTATGAGTAACTCGTAGATCAAGGGGCTCGTCGGCACGGGGTGAGCTGAGCGGGCTAGGGTGGAGCTCGTGTGGCGACACCGGTGGGGAGGCGAGGCGTCGCGGCGCCGCGTGCTTTTCGCGCATGGCGGCCGCCGCGCACGCGCTCATCGGGCTCGTGCGCAACCGACCTGAAACAAGCAAGCAATTTAATATTATATTTTACTCTATAATATATATATATATAAATATAATATTCATAAATTTGATTATCAATAACTGTAGTATAAATGATGATAGTTTGCTCGGGACTAACATTTGCCACAATACACTGATGAGGCAATCTGTATACTCGTAATTCAGAGAGCTGCCACCTTAACGCTAAACTTTGCCCCGATGTGCTTAGCGCTATCTTCTAGACACCAGTATGCTAAAACTTGTATAAATGTTACGAAATGACGCGACCAATGCGGCGGGGGTGGCCGGCTGATCGATGTCAGCTCCTACGCTTGCCTTCGACGCACGCCCACTGTCTTGCGACATCGGTAACTGGAGCACTTGCTACCGAAACTACCACCTTTTTTGTTAATTATTAATACCTGTATAAAGTCAATATATTGCGTTCGGACCAGTTGCTTATGGAAGAGTTGCGAATGCAATCAGGTGACTAGAATTGACATCTACGTAACCAATCAGTTAACATTTTCAACTAATTTTAATTTACCAGTTATTTCGTGACTACCTACTAATAATATATCATTTTTTTTAAATATTGTATATCTTTCACAATGGTTCTCACCTCAAGCTACCGTGTAAAAGTGAAATCAAAATCACGAATTGATATGAAAGATCTAAATGGTGTTAAAGTGCCTTCCTTTCGCTATCTCGTGCTTCGGCCCACGTTGTATCGTAACAGATAGTGTTATAACGAAAATAATATCCACGCCGATAATCGTGCTACAATAAATTGGACAACTTCATTGTGAAGATTGATCGGCGCACGCCATCACCCACGTACCGTCACGCGCATTGTTGGCATGCGCCTATATCGCCGCCGCCCAGACGTAATGCAACGATATAGTAACATGTTAAACGACATTATGTTATCATTACAACTTGTTATTGTGATCTATCATAGTTTTAGTCGCCACGGCATGTAACTACTTCGAATGAGAACTTTATCATTATGCGCTTTCCGTTTTATGTAGAGAATTTGACAAGTTAAAGTCTCAACCGATGTAGAAAATATTTTCTATGTCCTGATATTCAACATTTGATAATATTCATGCTAATATTATTAATACAAAAGAAAAGGTTTAAAAACCTTATAGTGCAGCTACAAATTTGTTCGCTCACGCCTACAGTCAACATGCACTAATTTGCACCAAAACGAGCCGACATAAATCCTTTGAACTAGGGTCGGCTATCGATGTCCTGATACCATATATGGCGCGTTCGTGACTCCCCTGCACAATGCTTATGATTTGTAGCAATCTCGCAAATATGTTCTATTAATTGTGGAATTAGGTAAATAAATATACCAGTATTATAGGTTTTTTATGCCCATGGTTAATTTTAGTAACGCCATATCTCTAGTTCATTGCTGTGAATCATGCAGACTTTCCTGAGTCCTACTAAGTACATGTTTTACATGTTTTCATGTAGGTGTGATAATCTTTTTACCTTTAAGAGCTTAGCTTACTGCTCGTGTATATTGTGTGAGCTTATAATTAGACATTAATTAGTTCTCGATGTTGTTTCGCTAAAGGCTCGTGCTGGCTGTTCGTGGAGAACATATTTTACGGTAGCGGAACCATGTGTAACATCTTATAGCGGTGTGTCGAAGCTTTTAAGTACTGTTACACGTTTCGTTTGTAGCGGGTATGTTAGTTCAGTTCGCGCATCTTCGGAGCAGTCACGATCCACTAATTACTTAGTAATTAACGATGTTTGGCGGCGGCGTGACGCGCGCGCAGGCCCCGCCTACTCACTCGTTATGTATGTTAATGTAAATAGCGTGGCCAATGAGAGCCATCACGGCGCGCCGCCTTGTGATATATTAGCATTTGAATCGCTTATTCGTTCCCCGTCGAACGCACTCCACTACTTTTGTGCTATTCCATGCGTTTCAACGTCTCTCCCCACTTGCTTGTTATTCTGTTATGCAAAACTGTAATAAATTACCGCGATTCGTTTTACTATGTGCTATGTATTTCAAATTCCTGCAGTCGAATGCCATAAACTGTATTGGCGATAAATTGTTTTATTCAGTCAATAATAATATAGATAGTGAATTGTGAATAAGATCTTGTATTCATGATTTGTATGTCTATGTACACAGATAGATTATGGTCACGAATGTTAAGGCGAGTATGGACAGAGATTGTAAAATTATGTAAGGTCGATAATTAGGTGGACTACCTATTTGATGAATGAGTTCGAAGTTTAAATTCTACGTTTTTTTACTAAAACTCCTTTCCTGGCACATATTGCACTGATAAGTGACGAGATGAGATTATCAATTTATGTCTCTTCCCTTTAATGAATGGTAATATGAATGAAGAAACAAAGTTACATAAAACTTGCATGGTAGTAGGTACTTTCTTTTCTTTAATCTTGTAGAAATCTCTTGTGGTAGAGTACTACTATTCTGCCAATTATATGATGAAGCGTGTAGATATATTGAAAACCATGAGTGTCTTTGAGATTTACAGAACTATTGCTAAAAGAGGCAAAATAAATACCTAACCAACATGATTAACAGCCATGTTAGGTCCTATCAACCTTTATTTTCGACTTCCTTTGATAGATAATCAACCATCTCGAAACGTAATACTTATTTACCAACCAATAATTAAATTTTTAATGAAATATTCAAATTAATTATATCGGCCGTTAAATTATTGTAATTTATTACGAATAATTAGGTATGAGTGAGGAGGCGTTCGATATAATCAATCAGGGCTATTAAAGTTGTAGGAAGGTGTATTTGTATGGATACATTCAATAATGTTTACATTACAGCCAATCGCAGTAGTCGCGCATGATCGCCGGGCCGGAACATATTGTGATGTAGCGCCCATTTGTTACGGTACGGATCGTTACCTTCCCATATCTACCTCATATGTAAATACGGCATGAACGACTACTTCCTTAATATAAAATCTTGGTTTAGTTTCTCTTTTAAATGTGGAGAATAATTTATTTTTTTATTGGAAAATAATAAAAAAATATTGAAATTTATATGTACTTAATTCATGTTCTCCCAATGAGGCGATTATAAAATAAAATAGGGCATTAATCATGATAAATATGTTAGTTTATATATGAAAATAAAATAATATTAATGTAATTACATTGTAGGTACAATGTACATGTTATAAGTATTTAATATATTCCTCTTCACGTCAATTATTACCGAGTGCTAATTACTTAATTTATATCGATGATTAATTGCTATTGCGACATCAAGAAAAAAGTAAACGGCTGAGTTAATGTACACTTTTAATTCACTTCCTTTTACATTATATTATAACTGTGTAATAGGCTAACAAAAATAACATCATTTCCCAATATAGAGTGTAAGAGTTTCAAGAGAATATTGTCAAAAAAAGCGTGAGTTGAATAACAATAGGTCTACAGCGGAGATTGCACCACAGCACTGTTGCTACCGCGAATCGATAAATTGATGAATAAAAACTGAATGGCTTCCATAGGTCGCAATACTGCATAGTCACGAGCAAGTCCTTCGCAATGTTGCGATGTAATACTTAATAAATCATAAGCAACGTCTCGTAAAAAGTAAAAAAAAGAAACGTGCGAAGGAAACAGCTACATCAAGCACAGTTTGTTCATAAATAAATTGAAACACAGATTCAGTTATTTTTGCTGCACAAATAAATAGATACGTCGTTTTGGACTTGGATTGGTTTATTAGAAATACCGTTAATAAAAAATATAATTATTTGGAAGCACTGGCAAAACTTTCAGTAATATTAAGCGCAATAAGCAGCCTCATAAGTCATGTAGTTAATAGTTGACATTCCTTACGATATTCTCATATGATCGTAGTCGTAGCAGATTCACATACACTGCTTGTTTTTAGACGACATAGTATCGACTACTTTAATCTTTGATTTATTTCACATCACTATTTTAGGAAACATGTCGCCACGATCGCCTTATGGCGAGATATGAGGTACTAGACGACGTATGAAACATAGTACCATAACTATGCACTAAATGGGCCGTGTGTAGATAGATCGATTATATCCGTGGACGTATCATGTCTCGATGCGGTCGATCGTTGCAAAACCAAACCTGCAAGTACTAAATCCTCCCGTAAAACGCACATTACTTACACTGTATTAGGCCATGTTATTTAAAGCTTCTTTATTGAATATTATCTTTTAGATGACGACTAGTTCGTTGCTTGCGTGAATTTATTTAACATTAGTGTCTATTAACTAGACGCAGTCGTCGATATACCATTTATTAAGATCGTGATGGAACGCAGTCGTAAATATAAGTATCTTTCTTTAGCATACTCAATGGCAGCTTGTAGTTTATTGACAAAGGCCATATCTTGACCCATGTGTGACACGATAATATGTTACTGGCAAGCTGTAACTAGTCTTATCGGATTGCATCTATACTATTGTTATTAGCCGTACTCGTAAATCTAGTTGAAATTCCAAAATTAAGTATTCAAGACACTCACCGATGTTTAAGGTGCGAGGCAATATAATTACCTAATCCATTATCGAATAACGATCGAGACCAATCAAAACGGAATTTAGTGTCTTTTAGAATAGATATTTAGTACACCTCGCTGATCGATTCTAGCCACTGGGAATTGATTTGCCGGGCATGCGCACTTGTAACGATAATGTTGTTTATATAAGTCGCTATTGCATGTGGGAACCGGAGCGACGTACGCCGTGCGAACCGCCGGAAATTTAGATTTTTTATCTGTGAACCATATGGTATATTTAGTGCAGTGTTGTATGGGCGCTGTACGCAATTACATTTATTGAAGTCGATACTGCGAAGTACGATGGTAAGTAAAGCGCCATTTTTGTGACATCCTGTGATGACTTGACCGTTAAGGCGCGTTCTAGATTTCGATAACTATATCTTGTTACTTAAGAATTGTATGTTTTTGATAATTTATTGACGATTTATTATTTTACTGTAGTACCGACGTCATTTACAATTAATAGTAACTAAATAGTAATTATATGACGAAATAGTGTAAGAAGTGATTACCAGCCCTATTATTATCAGTCAGCAGCCACTTAAACAAAAGACAAGAAGGAATCTTGGTAGGTACCTACGTCACATAAACAAGTTTGGACAAGTAGTATCTAATGGGTAGTTGCGAAATATTTTCGACCTCGAAACCGCCCGAAACATATCCGTGGGCTATAAAAGAGATTTATTGCTGCGAAGGTAGTGAATCATGTACGGTACAGATAGGATAGATACCTCAATTGTACTACATATTTTGCAACAAAACGTTTAAGCTCGCAATATAATCAATTTTGATTGAAAAAAGTATCGTCTAACCTGCTGGAACACATAATGTTTAGCACGTTTCATAAAAAAAATGTCCACATATGTAAGTCAACTTAAGTACGATAGATGACCATACATATATGAATTATGGTCGTAAGTAAACCAACAAGCGATTCTAGTGCTCACAAATTAATCTTTACCCACAGTTGCTTCTATCAAAAAGTGTAATCACGTCGATGTATGTTAAAGTGTAGCTTTATTTGTTAAAATTACAAAAAAAAGTATATAAAACGCAAGACAATACATTAGCAGATCATAAAAAATATGTTTTTTTTTATTTCTAATACAGTTAGTTGTAAGTTAATTCGCTTTGTAACAACTAAGGTTTTCGCGTACCCGACCTTTTTTTAATACCCGGGTATTGGGTATTCTTTTTTCATATGAAATTTTAGTTTTATTATATATACTCTGGTATACCCGGGTACCCGGGTATTGGCAATTTTTGCAGGAATACAGATTTTCCTATAATCTTCTTTCTTATTTAAATAATATAATAATTTTCTTATAATCAAGGTTTATTTTATTACGAAAGAGTGAAGTATGTCAATAAGTCTCCTTAACTTGTAGGACAATCAGTCACACTGTTAAACAGTCTTGTTCTCATTAAGTAATTAGAAACCAAAAATCTTTTTGTTATGTTATAAAATAAATAAATATATAACTTAATAATCTTTCTTCTAAGAATACACAATTTTAAGATAAATCAACTTAACATAAACCATAGTTATACCATAGTTCAAATTCAACTTATTATAGATTTGAGGTAAGAGGTTATTTTTCTTCTTGACAGAAGAGGGCTTTCAAGAACACTATTGCGTGCAATGAGCGGTCTAAAAGCCGATTTCTGCTTTTTATTACAAATTTTCTATATTTATTATATCTATTAATTTACTATTTTAATTTTTGTAAAAAACTCAACTCCTTAATAATTGATGAATTCTTTGATCAAAGTGGATCTCCACGTAACCGGGTCTAACAATAAAATAGTACCCGGGTACTAAAAATTTCATATACCCGGGTAGAAAACCCTAGTAACAAGCAACAAAATAAGTTACTAATCAAACTACTAATATATGATGTAATTGGTATCCATCGGTAGCAAAGTGGGTCTATTTAATTACGAATATCTCGTAAAACTTATGCAGACAGCGCACGCGCCACATTGCAATACTTGATTACACACCAAAGACTAGATCATTTCACAATGATGTTGAATATTTGTTGAGACGACATTAAAAACTGGTTCAAAGTGATGTCTTCTATCATCCATGTACCATCCATGTAGACATTGCTATACATTTAACTCTTTATAATTCAGAGCAGACTAAATAAGTACACAAATGAGAAGCATTTATTAAAGGAACTCTAAAAGATAGACCGCCTGAACCTTGACGTACTGCTAAATCTCCTATTTACACAGAGCAAATTATTTCGTTTTAATTGTAGGATCAACCCGACAAGGTTGATTTCTGCCTACCATAAGTGAGCTTATTTGTCGCTTCTGTTATATACAAAGATCACTGTCGTAGTTGCGCCCAATATTACGCAACCTATTTTTACGGTAGTTAAGAAAGCTACTATGCACCAATTTTACAAATCAATACCATCTTCCGAAAAGTTTTATAAACCTCCTTATCAGCAGAGCATAGTTATCAGAAGAAATGCTGCTAGCTGCAATTATCTATATATTAGAGGGTCTGAATGCTCTCAATGGCAATTAATCTTTTAATTTCAAATTTATCACCCTTGAACAATTTTCTTCCCTTATCCGAACAAATTGGTTACGAAATTTTAGACGCAGATAGCATACCATTACGTATTCAGTGCATAATTTCAACAAAATTCTTTGGAGAGACGCGCCGAGCTAACAAAACCGGCCTGTCTAATAATTTATAGTTCGCCATTATATCGTACTTTGTATACTGGCTACATTGCATTTGCATTGGAGACTTGGATTTGCGGTGACATGTCCAGTATTAAAATGATGTATCGTGGTTTGATTGCAGCAGGCGCGGGCTCAAGGGACGCGGCGAGGTACGCGCGCCTCTGGGATAAACTATTAAGTCGAGCCTTGCAACCTCTACTACTCTTGTTTGACTTTAACGATAGATATTTACGTTTATGATAACTATAAAATGATTACTTCGTGTCACTGTAACTAACCGAACGTTAGGTGTCGCAAATAACAGTAAAGTGGTCCTATCTATTTTATTCATTAAATTTCATATTATATTTTATAAGTGA